AAGAGAAATACCAGTGTTTTTAAAGAATCCCTGATCTGCGAGAGGTGTTTGGCATAACTCGCACCGGAAGCACATCGGATGCCAATTGTTGTTCAGAGCTTTGATAACTCGGCCTTAAAATAGATACTAATTAATAGCAGGAAGTAATACATAGAATACAATGAATGAATACCGATAACAAACTCGTGACAGAGACCACAACACGGGGCGAAGAGTACGTGGAAGTCGTGTTCGCAATACTTCCGGCCCTCAAACTCGTAAAATATCGCATCTTTACTGAACGGACGAAAACATTGGGCGCAAACAAAACACGACTGATGCCACACTTCACCCCCTGTTCACACATTTTAATGGTTAAATTGGACACTAAATCAACACTAATTATAATTAATTTATTGAAAACACAAATTTTCAATAGTTATAAAGCAAATCGACTCAATTGACGAGAGTTGGGGCCCCTCTGGGCCTATCAAATACCCCTTATATTCACAGATGGTTCCACCCATTCAAGAACCAAATAAGCTTAATGCATTTAGAATTTGACTTATTTAAATGGCCATGGTCAAATAATATTATTACACAGTAACTTTACTTAAATTTACACCAATTTCATACATAAATATGTTAATACATATGTATTATTAATTTTAATTAATTAATTAAAATATTTTTATTCCACTAAAGGATACATTAAAAAGTTGTTTTGTTTTGAACAAAGTTTGTGGTATTAAACTAAATCACTTTTAGTGGACATTCATTAACCATAATATCAATTGTGGGCAATGAATGGCAATTAATTAGTGATCATATAAGTTGACAAATAATGTAATTAACAAAAGTATGGATTAAATGACATTAAAAAGCGATAATTTACCGGAATTAACGATTTTTTCTCTTTCCTCAAAGCCTTCATTACAACGCGAACAAAACATATTGGATGTACTCGAAGACATCACTGCAACTGATCCGCTATTATATTCGCTTTTAATTAACAGATGGCTTGCAAATTAAATTAATAACATTTGTAACTATAATAACAAAACCAAACTTCAAGACAATTAACTCAATTGACATACAGTTTAGGCGAGTTATAGACCACACCCTCTCTCACAGGCAGTACAGTATAGCCAACGCATTGAGACAACCCCTCATAGCGTTCGGTATTTACCACAAATTCCCGCATATATTCCCACTCAATGTTTTAATTTTCTATTTAAACATTATTTTTAATAGATTTTAATATAAAAAGCAACGATTTTGTAAAGTTATATCTAAATAATTAAACACACATTTAAATAATGTTTGAAATATAATTAAATAAAAACTATGGACAAACTGTTGGGGAACTACTGAACGCTTAGTTGTGGTGCATATAGGGCTACATATGGTATATTTGAGTGTCAAGTGTTGTGTTGTGTGCATGTCTTGGATGCAGATGTTGTCAAACGTTGTAAACCATCCCTCGATTGCCATAATAGGAGATCACTCTTCAGCCATCGCTAGTGAAGTAGGTTTTGATTGAGGTTTTGAGGCTATCATTGCTTTCCATATGAAACCCACGACTAATCCATTGTATGTGAAGACCTCTAAAAACATTTTCTCCTTATTTATCACTAATTTTGCATTAATTATGCATTTTTTAGTTGTAAAAGATGTTGAGATGTCTTAATAGGGATCAGTTGTCGAAGTACAACAACGACGGACTCGTTAGCCATACCAGTGAAGAACAAGTAGGACTCAATCCATTCATACCATTTCATACCACATGTCTTCAAACAATAACAATAAAAATATGATTCAATATTTGGTTTGAATTTAATTAGAGAAAAGTTGAGGAATCGATTGAGAGATGCTATGAAACCATTGAAAGCATTGCGCAAAATGACAATCAGTGAGAATATAAGCAAACAATTAATTGATTGCCATATCTTATGATCGGTTTGTTTTAGAAGAGTACCGCTTCTGTTCCGCGACAAACACAATAGATATTTAATCCGCGGTTTGAGTCAACCATTGCATCAGTCATTTGAATGTCTAGACTCTTCTCGTCCGTGGCTTACGTATTGGATAACTCACTCTCTGGCCATTCTCGACAATAACGCCGAATTAGGTTTACATCATATTTAATACTCAATCGGATTGTCATAACGAGTAAAATATGAATTACAGAATTAAATGCTCCAAAAGTTGTCACATTTCTATTGAATTGCAAGAATAAAGAGGGCGGATATGGAGGCGGACCGCAACAGATCTCGCATTTGGCCACAACTTATGGTAAGAACTTGTGGTAAATTAATTTCATTGAGTTTAATAAATATTGTATTTTGCGCTAAAGCGGCGGTCAATGCTTTGGTAACCTTTTGCGACGAAAACGCATTGCAGTCCATTAACCGAAACGAAATTAAAACTTTTATACTTTCGATGAAACAAAATGACGGCTCATTTCGCATGCATTCCGGAGGAGAAATTGATATTCGGTTTGACGTTAAGATATGTTAAAGAGTTGTCATTTCATTAATACTTTATACTGTATTATGGAGTAGTGGCGCGTATTGTGCGATATCTGTGACCAAACTTTTGGGCATTGAAGACGAGAATATGTTTGATAATACTGTTGAATGGCTGCTATCGTGTCAGACATACGAAGGCGGGTTCGGTGCGGCGCCGGGCCATGAGGCTCACGGGGGCTATACGTTCTGCGCCGTTGCAGCTCTCATACTACTCAAGAGTTTAGACAAGTGTGACATTAAATCATTGCTAAAATGGGTTACAAATAAACAACACAAATATGAAGGCGGGTTTGCCGGCAGGTATGGCCACTATTGACAACAGCATAAAATAGTTACCGTTAATAATAAATTTGTCATTGATTTCAGAACTAATAAATTAGTTGACGGCTGCTATTCCTTCTGGGAGGCGGCAGTCCTTCCCATTGTTCACATCTATTTGACACAACAAAGTATGTATTTTGCGATAAAAATAGATTCGAAACTATAATTGGTTTAATTACTGGACAACAGATCCATCGATAGTGCCCACCAATAAGTGGCTCTTCAATCAGAATGCGTTACAGGAATACCTGCTCTGTTGCTGTCAAGAGAGAAGCGGTGGTCTAATTGACAAACCGGGCAAAAATCGTGATTATTATCACACCTGTTATACCTTATCTGGGCTTTCAATCGCGCAAAACACGCTCTCAAGTCAAGTGATTGTGGGC